TAAAACAGGGCCTTGCTCGAGTTTTCGGATTTGCGGTAATGTTGCGTAGCGGCCATGATAGATGGATTATGAGACTTATCAGCCGTGTTGTTGCTTGCGAATGGCAGCCGGGGCCCGACTGTGGAGGGCCATCTCACCACTCACCCACCCCACACCGTCCGAGGCGGCAAACCACCCAAACCTATACCGTTTTAGGGTTTTGGACCTAAACTCAGGAAGGTCCATCTTGGTCATTACCACTTTTCAGCAGCATAATTAAGGCTGCGTTCCTAGACGGGTCAGGGCTTGGGGTAGCACGTGGCGAGGCCCCCGCAAAGGCTTTGAGGTTTTTGGAACACCGCTGAAAAAGGCTAGAGCTTTGGGTTTTGGAGTGTCTTGTTGTGGCGAGAAATTCTGAGCCGGCACACCCCGCCAAGCTCTCAGGCCTCCTGGTCCGACATTCGCTCGCAGAGGAGCCTTTGGACCCCCCCCCAACAAAAACTCTTCCAGCTACCTGGCCTCTTGTACCCCTGGCTGTGGATCGACCTGCGCCATCGATGTCAAGGGGCTTGAGCGCCGGTGAGTGAGTGAGGGAGTGAGCAAGCGAGTGCGTGAGTGAGTGAGTGAGTGAGGAGGACCTGGATTGCACTCCGGTCTACGGAAACGTTCCTTCCCGCTCTTCCCTTCCCCCCTCCGCGTACGCCATCGGGGAGATCCAGCGAGAATTCCACGCTCCGGGCCCCTCAATCTGAGAAGGGTAAGATGCCACCCCCCTCCTCCAAGCCGGGCAGCTTGGCTTGGCAAGACAGCCCACTTCTTGGGAACACAAGCTCTTCCGGGGCACAGTCTCAGAGATGGGGCATGGGGTGGTCGTACCAACCACACACGCGCACACGCACCCGGCAGCGAAACTAAGGGCAAAAACAAAGCTCAGCGTATTTTCCCTTGAGGCTGCACAGACTCAATCATTATCCCCTTGGCGTGTGGGGATGTGCGGGGCAGTGCCTGAAACTGAAGGCACCGTCCCTTGACCTGAATAGTGCGACATGCATTTTACCCACCCCACGCAGTCCCAGGCGGCCAAACCACCCAAAGCCATTCCTACTGGGGTTTAGGACTTAAACTCAGTTAGGTCCATCTTGGTCAACTACACAACCCCCTTCTAATGTCAACTTCCTAGTAGGACCTGGCTTGAAAAACCTGAATTCCTGAATTAAGGCTCTGCGAGATTGGGAGGCCTTTTCTTGGTCCTTGGATTTGCTTGCACAGGAGCCCTGGCCCCCCTAGGAAAAGCTCCTGGGAGGGGTGGGAGCCAGGAAGGGTTTGGGCGTCAGAAATAAGGGCTTGAAATCCCATGGAGAACGGCTCCGGTACCGGGCCTATCGTGGGTGCTACCGTTCCCGTGGCTGTGCTGAGGCAGGTCCAGGTATGTTGGCCTGCGCGGCGAGGTCGAGGGGGCATAGGCGGCGCCCACCATCGTAGGTGGGCGGCCTAAGCCATGAGTTTAGGATTTAGTGTTGAGGTTTCGGGTTCAGGGTTTAGGACTTAGGGTTTCGG